ATAAAATTTAAGTTTATTTAATATTAAATATATTTTTGAACACCCTGTATAAATCGGTCCAAATTTCTGTACAGCTAGTTTAAGATACACGCTATATCAATATGTTGTGGGCCTATGCAAAATGTACAATGCCTTTTGTACCATTTAGGACCAAATGTATGACTATTGTTTACAGTCCCGCAGGGATCCGTGGGATTGATTGCTTTAATCCCGCGGGTTTGCGGGATTGAGATTTTGGTGCGGGATTGCATTCTCTAGCTACGAGTAATGGTTCACGAGATATTTGGAATCAAAATTATCAATATCTGTGGTCATTGACGTAAATTGTTGACCAAATATTTATTAGACCGAAATCATAAATCTGAAATGTTTTCGTTCCAAAAGTTCAACAAAAACTTTTTATCATCATTTTTTCAAAGAAAAAATTATGATTAATTAAAAAAGTAAAAAGTTCCTAAATTTATCATTTCAGTCAGATAACTATCTGCTTGAGATTGTTTATTTTTTGTCAATAATGACAGGTATTGACTATTTATTAGGTTTTTTTTAGGTATTAATAAGTAATTTTATTAGGTATTGAAATATCTTGAGAACGGTTGCTCGTAGCGATTTTTACCAAGATATATTTTTTACGTAGAAAATCACGGAATTGTATATTTTTTCACTCAGTAGTTTCATACAGGTACGGACGAAAAGTTATTACTCTTAAAAACAGTTAAAATACATGTAAATGGCGCCCACTACATGTAGAATCCATATTGTAGAAGTCATATTGACATCAAAACCAATTTTCATCTAAATATTGACATTACTTCAGAAATTATTTGGAAAAAATCGAAATAAAAATGAAACTTTTACACCCTGTATCTCCGAAAGTAAGCATTTTAGGACATACATTTATACGAACTTATTTAATTATTTTTATCTGCAGAATATGCTGCCGAAGTTTCCGGAATACAGTTCGGACCACCCTGTATAGCCAAAACAATTATCACATGTTTGAGTAAGTCAAATTTAAATTGAACTCACAAGATAGCAATAATTACTTTGAGAATGGACGCTTTAAAGACTTTTCGGTATTTTTTCAATGAGAGCGATTTAGAGAAAAGAGAAAATTATTTCTGTTCTTGTTTGTGGTTGTTCTTAGCAACTGCTATAGCAGCACCAGATCGCGTACAACGGTCGCGACCCAAAACAATTATTTATTTTGACGGGCTTTCCAATTAAAATTTATTTCCTTTATCTATGGTTACCACAACGTTGCCATGTCAAATATCAAAACAAAAAGAGCTCTAGGTATTTCTACCGTTCATCATCACAACAATAATTAAATTATTTTAACCTTGCTCATCTTTAGTACTTACCGTCATGATTCTTGGTCAACTCGTCGTGAACCACCAATTCTATAAAATTATATCCCATCTGTTCAGAGAAGTGTTTCCCCCTGGATATTATAGTCAGATAGTGTATGCGGTCCTTTTCAAACTTATCTTGGTCGATGGCAAACGGTTTCAATCGGCCGTACTTCTTTTCGATGGCTTCGGCGATTTTCTGCAGAATCAATTGCCAGTTGCGTTTGTACTGCTTCGTCATATACGGAGCCAGAGCACGAAAACAAGTTGGAAAATGTTTTTGCAGATACTGAAACAATACCAAAAATGACAACACAAAAACCATGGGTGTAGAGGTTCGATAACAAGGGATTTTCCGAAATTCCAGTTCCAAGGGGGCGAAACCACCACTCAAATATTACAATATTTTCAATTTAACAAACGGTCAAGTTCCCGAACAAACGCTTAAACAAGTATATTTTATTTTGTTTTTACATATTTTAAGATTTTTAAAAATGTGCCAGGGTGTTTCGAAAAATCTGGTCATTGATTAATCACGATCCTGCTTAAAGCGCCTGACGTAAAAGGCTGATTTTGGAAAACAGATTGACTTTAGGGTGTAGAGGTTCGACAAGAAGCGATTTTTCGAAACTCGAATTCTAAGGGGTGAAAACACCCCCTCAAATATTAGAATATTTTTTTATTTAAAAACGGTGAGTTTTTCTGGAAAAACTCTAAACACGTATATTTTATTTTGTTGTTTAACATATTTTAAGATTTTTCAAAAAAAATTATACAGGGTGTTTCATAAAATATGACCATTGAGTAATCACGATTCTCTGCTTTTAAACCGCTTGACGTTTAAAGCTGATTTTTGGCAAACGGATTGACTGTGGGGTGTAGAGGTTCGGTATGGAGGGGTTTCTCGAATCTCAAATTCCAAGAGGGTGAAAACGCCCCTCAAATATTACAATATTTGTTATTTAAAAAACGGTCAGTCTTTCGGGACACGCATAATTTATTTTGTTTTTTACATATTTTGAAATTTTTTAAAAAATCAGGTTGTTCCAAAAAGTTGGATAATTGATTAACCACGATTCTGCTTAAACTGCTTGACGTAAAAAGCTTATTTTTGGCAAACGGATTTTTCGAAAGTCAAATTCCAACGAGATGAAACTACCCCTCAAATATTACCAAGTTATATAATAATATCGCCATATTGTTTTTTCTCATCCTGACATAAATGTGAGAAAATTTTATCCAGTCTGTATGTTAATGGAAATTCTTGCTTTGCTTTATCATCACCATTACAAATGATTAATTCGACGCGAACGAAGTCACGCTAATTGAAACTATAAAACACTCAGGTACCAGATTTGTGTTATATAACACTGTTTCGGGTAGTAAAATTTAAGTGAAAAAGAACACAAATTGGGCGTCGCGTTGTGTTGTGACAATTTCAAATGTTAAAAAAATTGCCGAGAAAATATTAACACGTAAAGGAGAGCGTAATTACGTGATTGTTCACAATACACAATATTCCCGGAACAATTTTTTCGTGTATTCGCTATTTAAACCCGTGTATTTATTTAGTCCGCTATTTACGGTATTCTCCGATGGTGGCAGCACCGGCGGAGAATGCACCTGGCATATAGATTAAGGGGCATTTACGTAAATTTTATTGCAATGCATCATATAGCATCAAGGCAACAGAAGCTCTGTGGTATGGACGGTAGTCGGAGGTTGCTCAAGTTGTAAAAACGTTACAACAATTACAAGAAATGTTGAACACATATACCTGGGGATACGAAGCTTCGGGCCTTAAGCTAAACATCGACAAAAGCAAAATCATGTGCACTCCCCCGGAAGATCACAACAACGCTATAAAAATCGGAGAAGAACTATTGGAATATGTAGCGGAATTCAACTACCTCGGCAATTTGATTTCGGAAAATGCCAATATCGACTCTGAAATTCAGCTTAGGATTAGAGCCTCAAGAGCATTATGGAAATTAAAAGACGGTTTTATACAATCATGACTTGGGTACAAAAACGAAACTTGCAGTGTACCGAGCAATTGTAATCCCCACCATGTTATATGGGAGACAGACAACTCTTAAGAATCCCGATGGTTCCATCATGTCTCAAACGCATCGATCCTTGAAAAAGCTAACTGCGAGAGTATTGAAGTAATGGTTACAAAATCCCGCTTAAGATGGGCTGGTCACCTATGCAGAATGCAAGAAAACCGCATACCAAAATCTCTGCTTTACGGTGAGCTTGTAGACGGTAAGAGGAGGCCGGGTGGACAACTCAAAAGGTACAAGAATATTTCCACGAAAACCTAAAGGGGATTAATATGCAGAATGAATGGGAAGACGCAGCTCACAATAGAACTCGATGAAGAAGAATTGTGAACTCAGTGAACAGCGACAACCAAAGAGTAAAGAGGCAACAAAGCAATGAGATTTTTGAATGTCCGGAGTGCGGTAGGCAGATAACATCGCGTATCGGCCTTTTCAGTCACAGAAAAGTTCATGAAAGAAAACGCCTTGTGTGACCATCTTCTGATGCGTGTCAAATACTCGTTAGCGAGTAATGGCAGTAGTAGTAGTAGGTCGGAGGTTCTACTCTGATACTGTGGAGATGAAACAGGGAGTGCCACAGGATCTATTCTTAGACCCATATTTTTTTTGTTACATGAGAATGGTCTATCTGTAGAGCCTGTCTGTGCATAAAATGATTGTTGACTCAAGAAAAAGTTATTTTTTGCAAACCAAAAAAAGTATAATTACAGAAAATAAACTATACCTGTGAAATATGGTTGTAGCTGGCCAAATGTGTCAATACGGTCCTGGGATCGCCTCTCTTATCGCACAGAATGCATAGATAAAAAGGTTCCTTTGACGGATCGTAGTCGTGCATTTCTATTAAGTACTCCAAAGCCACTAAAGGCCCAACTTTAAATCCATCTAGTTTTTCCTGTAAAAATAAAACAATTTCTTTAATAAAAATCAATACAAAAAGTTTGATGAACTATTAAATCAAAATATATTTAATTTATACAACAGTTGAGGAGCAGACTTTCTATTATCTGACAAACGAATCTAAAACACTAGAGTCTGTGCCGATAACCTCACACAGCACATTTCCACCAATTTGACAACTGACATTAATGACATTTGAAAACATGAAAACTTCAATGTTCACAATTATGTTGTGTGTATGTGTATACTATTACATCATAAATGTAGTATTTAAAGAAATATAATTAGCAAGTTATTAATGGGTTTATACTATACTTACCATATTATTTATCTATACCTGCTTATACTTACCTATCTATACTTACTTACCTATGTACGTAGTTTTTTTAACAGTTACATTAACATGAGCTTAGCAGCAAATAATAATTTATTTTTTTTAGTATGTACTGACTTAGTTATCAGTGGAGAGGAGCAATCAAATTTTGACACAATAATTCAAGAAGTTTGCAAGAAAAAATTAGCCTCCAAGGAAGAAAATAACCTTGGAAAAGACAGGATAGACTTATGAGAAACTATTACGTCTATAATTAAAAAATACAACTTCCATTCAAGAAATTGAATCCCTTGAGGTAATTGCAGCTTCAATGACTCCAACTGTTGCAGCTGTTAGAGAAAGTAATCATTTAACACATGCAAAATCATTCGTGTCCAAGGGCAATTCTAGTGCAGGCAATATAATACCTCAAAGGCGATTCTTTTGCCACCAAAAAAACAATCGATCTACAACACAACTTGAGAAACCCGCAGATTCCTGTGAAACTAATTATATAGCCTTACGTCTTTTACTGTAATTACTAATTTTATTTTAGTAAAAATTAATTGATTACTCATACCAGGTTGTTTTCTTATCTTATTGACCAAATTAAGAAGGTGAAACCTTATCTCCTTAATTTAAGAAAAACATATCACCTGTTTTGAAGCACGCTTATTGCTTACAAGGCTTTTGCACGCGACTTAAGAAAAATGTGCAAAGATTTTTCATAAAATTGTTTTTTATTCATTTAAAAATACCTACTCCTAGAAACCTATTATTATTATTATTAAACCAAACACACATCAAACTAATTTAATATAATTTTCTAACTGTCGTGAGAACATATATTATTTTTTTCTTTATGGGTGCACCTACTAAAGTGGTATACCAAGGCGTCCCAGATAAATATAAAAAAGTTGCGACCTTAGGTGCTTAACAAAATGATGCTTTTTTTTAATTTAAAAAAACTCTTATTGGTTCTGAAGATATCCATTAAAAACAGCGCGCCCTGTTGTCAAAACTTTATTTTTTCCTGGTCTTATTTTAAGAGATATTTAAAAATAAAACATACTTTCTCACAGCTATGCCTCTACACTAAAATGGCAATATCAAATTTTAAATTCGACGTTTACCTTTTTTAGTGTGAAATCATCAACTTATTTTTTTTAATTAAAATTAATTTTTTTTCAATACAAAATTTGACAAAATGCTGTTTTTACGGTTGTGTTCGGAACCGATCAGAAATTTGTTAATTTTTAAAATGGCATCTAATAATTAGTCACCAAAAGCCGCAACTTTTTTTCCTATTTAACCAAAATTCTACCTTTTATGGTTTCCGAGATATCCTCATAAACTTCTATAATGAATAAGAGATTCTTACCTGGGACACCCTGTATTATCGTATAGTTTTTTACACCCGTATTCAACATTCTCTTTTAAATAAAAGCCCTTTCAGTACATTTAAATCATATGTAAACAATCTTAAAAGGGCGTTTAACATTAAACCGTTAAAAGAGGATGTTAAATAAAGCTATTGTTTTGACTAATTGTTTTGTATTCTGAAAAAAAAATACAACTTTTTACCGCCATAATACAATTTACCGCCAATATACAAGCGAATAGCGCACGCACAAAACTTTGGTGGAAATGTGCTCTGTGAGGTTATCGGCACAGACTCTAGTATCTAAAACAGCAAGAGGAATTCGGGCAAAAAAAGTCGACGTTGTCTGGCTAAAAAAGTCGACTGTTGTATGCTAATATCCTGACGTAGTTCTTATCGTATTAATGTATATTTATCTAATTAACTGATCTCCTTCATTCTGCCTATTATAAAAGGTAAAGTATTTCCTAAAGATAACGTTCGCTTAGAGCAAGCTGGCAACGCTGACAAAATTAATCATGGCATCCCGGATTCAACCACTCTGATTGGTCCAGATTCTCGCACGTCTTGCCGCCATTACCCCCAACTTTATGCCCCTCTCTAGGAATAGTAGAAACAGTTACAGTTACTACTATTGAAAAATCCAGTGGCGGTGTATTGTATTGTGTTTTATGCCTTTAACTTGATTTGTGCTTATTGTAATTAGTACACGCGTTTTAACAAATATTACTATATTTGGCAAATGACTAAACAAAATGTAGGTACATTTAAAGTAAAATAATATTAGAAACTTTACTGGAAAATTTACTGGATATTATAAAAACTCCTGATATATTTTTATGAAACACCGCACGCTTCTACATATTTTATGAATGAAATCGGTAAAGATTTCACAAAATTGCGATCCCCTTACCGTTGCCCCGTTGTTTCAGATCCGTTTGTCAGACTATAGATGCATTTTGTCCAGTTTTTCGAATTTTGGCAAACCAAGAAAAACTACGCTTTTTGCAGGAAACTTACCGAAAAACTAGAAGTCTTAAAAAATGTCTGTCTTATACCAGTATGAGTCTGATAGGTAACTTGTTAGTAAAAGTAATGATTAAATACATGTAAATACGGTTGTAAGGTGGTAAATGGTTATCTTACTTGAATTTGAGCCTGTCGAGTAACTTCTCCTTCCATCCCAGGAGGCACTGGTTCCCCGGGGGCTACCTCAATAATTACTTTTCCTTCATCTGACGGTTCCGCGTCCTTTTCTTTTTCAAGATGTCTGTTTGTCACATGCATATTGATGGAGTGTCTTCTGCCCAGCTCATGCTGGTACACCCTTCCCATAACTGGGCATTCACAAACCTATTTATAGATCAAAATAAATTTGTTTGCATAGATGGGCAGCTGAATAAATTATTTTTGGATAAAATTATAGGCTAAGGACTAACCCATAGGTATGATATTGCACAGGTTGGTCACTACGTCACAGGTGATAAACGTCACCATTGGTCGGCAAGCTCCGCGCGCAAATTTCAAATTGTCAAATAGATGACATAAAAATAACTTGAAAATAATTTTACAAATGTCAAGCCAGTGCCTTCTATTAAAAGATCAGCCTACGGGCGGACTTTTGTTTACTTCATCAGCTGTACATACTTAGATATTGGGTTAGATTCCGTTTCATATTTTGTCGGTTGATTTTTGGTTTTAACTCTTTGATTTTTGGTATTATTTATTATTGTAGTGCAAAAAACTAATTATTTTGGTGTTGAAGTGACATAAACTACTACCAGATATATGGTCACTCTCGGTTTCGCATAAAAAAATAGAAATTTTAAAAATTACACGTTGTGCAAGTGATTTAACCTAAAAGTGCCCATACATTTTTTACTTATCGTGATTTTTGTGTGTGTTTTTTAAGACTCTAACAATTCATCAATAAAGCTTAAGTGGAGTGTGTTATTGGTGCTATGCCTCATCTTTGTTGTGTTCCTGGTGGAAAGGATAGTTACTAAGGATAGTTATTATACTAGGCAGCCTAAAGTGTCCGGAAGAGCAAGAAAAGTGGGTACGAGTTATAAATCAAGAGAATTTTATTGAAAATATCTTTAATAAATTTAAAAATAATATTCTCCCATGATGGTATTAATGAAACTGGACAATTATGTTTATTTTATTCATATTGTGGAATCTCCACTCCAAGTGTTGCTGGTTCAGCTTCGATAGATTCAAACACGTAAGTAGGTATTATGATATAGGGAAAATAAAGAATATGTGTATTAGAGATCATGAAAAAGATTATTATTTTGAGTTCAAATTTTAAAAAGATTTTTGTAAAGACAAGACTGATACAGTTTAAAAGAAAGAATGTGTTTTTGTTTGATAATATATAATGTATTTTAAGCATAACATATATTTGTTCAGTAATTTTTAATGAATAGTATTGATTATTTATAATACCAAATTAATATCAAATATTTAAGTGATGGCTGAATACAATATGAATAAAATAACAATAAAATTGGTATATTTGCATAATACAAAATTAAGTTTTAAGAATAAAGTGTTACTAAAAATACTAAGAAATTCATATTTCTTTGTTTTAATTGGTCTAATGTTATTTACATTTTACGTAAGAATTATATCGTATCATCGAAAAAAATCGGCGTCTAGTTGGCTTGGAAATGAACATCAATGCCATTCCCTAAATAACTGTACACATAAAATTAACTAGAATTTTACAATCTTGGAAAATTTGATATTCTTGAACCTTGATTCTAAATATTCTAAATTTTTTGATTTTCTTGGAATTTAGGTTCGGGAAAAACGCTGATTGATTTTTCATTTGGTTTTTCATTATTTTTATTTGGTTTAAAAAAAACGGTTCGGCTAACATTATAGCCTCCATCAGTGTTGTGTCATATGAAAAAATAGTGTCGAATATAATCCAAAAATTGCATATAAAATATTCACACCACGCACATAATGTTTACTGCGTACTCCATAGTCAATGTAGATAATTTTAGTGTTAAGAATAATAATTTTAAAAAATATGTGGTCATCTTTTGATAAGTTTATATTAGTTTATTAATTGCAGTAAACATTATGAGGTGTGAATTATATTGTATATGTAATTTTTTGGATTATATTCGACACTATTTTTCCTCATATGACACAACACTGTGAAAATATAGTTAGCCGAAACGTTTTTTTAAACAAATAAAAATAATAAAACCCAAATGAAAACTTAATCAGCGTTTTTCCGAACCTAAAATCCTTAAGAAAATCAAAAATTTTAGAATAATTTAACATATAAAATGCCAGCGATCTTCATTTCATAGCCATCTCTGACGCCTTTTTTTTAGATAATATTGTATTATTTGTAAATATAATTTTTCGAACATTGATACTTGCAAAATATACATATAAATTTTTGTGAATGCAAATAATAATACATCACTATTAGTAGATATTAAATGTTTTTGTTAAATTAGATCGATTTTCAAACCCCAAAATTTAAAATATATTTACATTTTACCCATTATCTTATGTACCTATACATTATTTGTACATTGTAAAACATTTGCTGCATTTGTATGGTTCATAGTTTATTTGCCAAAGTATTTATTACTATAAATAGGTATATATGTTGTAGTTATTAACTGTATATTATGTATATTTCATTTAAACTATATCATTTTTAAAATACAAACCAAAAATCTGAGGAATAATTATGTTTTCCATGTATTTTACAACATATTTATTAATCCGTTATATCTAACTAGCGTGACGTCATAAATCTCGCCCGTAGGCTGATCTTTTAATAGAAGACACTGGTCAAGCTCAATTATTTGACATAACTTTTGAGGTTATGTCCTAATTCTCTCTATTTTAGGATTTAAATAAGAAGACTAAGGAAGGAGCATATCAAAAATCTTAGGTACACCGCGATGGGCCTCAAATATGGCCGACTTAAATTCCGGTTTATCAGTGTCGTTCTAATTTTATTTAAAAAATGTAAAACTATGATGTAGGGTAGACGTGGGGTAGACTCAATAATTTGTTGTTAATATAATTCTAATAAAAATAGATAAGTTATAATAAGTATTTATTACCACAAACATCCGATACGCTACTGAAGCAGGTAAGTCAAATTAACGTATCTAAATTCTTTGACATCTAATCTTTGACAAGTAATAAATAAAAGCTAAAATGCAAGAAAAATATATAATTTTGTTAATTTAAGTGAATTTCATAAATGATCGGTTTACTACACGTATGTATATTATATAGTCACTTACTAGCGAAAAGTTGTTCCATTATTTCACTCAATTTTTGCCGAGATCTACCGCACGCTACACAACCAACTATTTTAGAGTCTTTTTCGATAAATCGCGATAGTGTCACTGTTAATTAAAGTGCTGCCACAATTTCCATCTAGATTTACTACCTTTATACAACTATCAGTAGTAGCATAAATAATAAATAACATAAAATAAGCTCCGTAAAGACTGACAAATCCACAAAATTTCAAATCAAATTCAAATGTGTCAAATGAATCGTCAAACAGAACTGTCAAGGATCCCCACCCTAGAGTGCTTTTATGGTGCTTTTTCCGCCCACCATGCATGAATACATGGATAGCATTATGCTCCTTCCTTAGTCTTCTTATTCAAAGATTTTAGGTCCTTTTTTATTAGTGGCAATTAAACAATATGGATATTTTTTTGTATGGCGTATGACGTCACAGGTGGTATGCGCAAACTTAACGAAATTGGAGCCGCTATCGATCATCCCTTGTTTTCTTTGTACCATGGGACTAACCCACATAATATATACCGGGTGTGTCTGAAAAGTGGCTCAGCCCTATAAATTTTTTTATTTTTTCAGATAAAAAACGAGATTTGGTATGTTACTACATGACATAAATTAGGATCGATTGACGTATTCAATTGTTTTAGGTCGCTTCCTGTTTCACGGGAAATGACTATAACTTTTGATTTTTAAATGACACCCTCGGTATTTTGTTACTTTATTCGATAGAAAATGACGCTGTGAATAGAATGACATATCGTATGTCAATTTTTAACATTTTCGAATATGGTTTATTTCAAACTGCAACATGCAATTCATAACGACAATTTGACGCGAAATAACAAGTGTGTGGTACCAAATTATTCGTAAAAAATGCTTTTTCCAAATATGCTAATGAGCCACCTTCGTTCCATTTGAAAAAATTGAGATATGATTAAAAATACGATTTGAGAATCTTTTAACCAGCCGGGACAAGACACTAAAAACATTATTAGACGATCAAATCTATTTTTCCAATGCTTCTTGATTAAAAATTAGTGTTTTTAACACAGCTATGGCACTCTAGATTGAAGTTTGAAATACAATTTTGTTTTAAGCGAAAATGTTAATCAAGGTCAATAATTTTTAATCAAGAAGCCTTGCAAAAATAGATTTGATCATCTAATGTTTTTAGTGTCGTGTCCTGTCCGGTTAAAAGGTGCTCAAATCGTATTTTATCTAATTTTTTCAAATGGAAATTGTGTGGCTCATTAGCATATTTGAAAAAGCATTTTTTACAAATAATTTGGTACCACACACTTGGTATTTCGAGTCAAATTGTCATTATGAATCGCACGTTGCAATTTCAAATAAACCATATTCGAAAATGTCAAAAGGTGACATATGATAGGTGACATATCGAATAAAGTCACAAAATACAGAGGGTGTCATTTAAAAATCAAAAGTAATTTCCGGTGAAACAGGAAATGACCGAGAACAATTGAATACGTCAATTATTCCTAATTTATGTCATATACTAACTTCCCAAATCTCGATTTATTATCTGAAAAAATAAAAAAGTTATAGGGGGTGGGCCTCTTTTGAGACGCACTCGGTATATCATTAATGTAGGACTACTATAACTTTAAACACTTAACTATCTATCTTAAACATAAAACGACGTATTTCTAAATCTTTCTTACCTTGCAGAACCAATGTTCGGCGCCATTGACATAAGAAAGTTCGAAAATATTATCATACTGTCCATTTCTGAGAATGGCCTTCTGTTTAAGTATGCGATCATTTTCAGTTTCCTAAATAAAAGAAAATTATATTGAATCAATATGTAATACATGTGTATTTAATAATAAAGGTGTCATCATATGTTGAAAAATATTACAACATACATAATTTATACATTACATGTTGTAATTTATAATATATACAAATACAACATATACAACAATGACATATTAGTTATGTATGTATAGCAACTTGTATGTCAGGTAATACACATTAAAATGTAGTAAACTTTAGTATTTGCGTCAAATATAAAATCCAATGCTTCACACATCCCAACAAACCAATGCTTAAAAAAGCATTTGACATACATATCTGGTCATCCTAAATCCGTAGTCTGAATATAATTGGTAAGATAAAGATGGAGATACCCTAATGAAAAATTCAAACGTGTTAAAGAGAGATAAAAAGCCGGCCAATACATTTCTTCTATGCGGTTTTGCCGGTTTTCCGTTAAAATACTTAAAATCGACAAAGAAAACGTTTTGGATATTAATGCAGCAAGCGTTAGACAGACGTAATACCTCACGTATTATATCTTACATTGTGTTGGTGCGCCTGCATGTAAGAACCGACAGACCTGCATTTCCTTGTATCTCTGTCTAGCAACTGGTTATAACGTACCACGACTATTTCATCTTTATCTTACTCATTAAAATACAGACCACGGATTTAGAATGGCCAGAATGGTATAATTCGGTCAGGTTCATACTCTTAGTTCGTTACGCGTAATTCATGATTGTGTCGTGACGATGGTTAATTTTTTTATGTAATAATAGTAGGCTGACGATATGTTACCGGTATGTTTTAACGAAGGACGAAGATGAATACAAACCAGATAGCGTGTTTGACTATGGTTCGTAAGAGCAAATGAATTCAACTCTGATAAATTCATTTGTACGATATGAATATACTTTATACTCATTCCCTTTGTATTTTTCCTACAAGTTGCCACTACACAATTTCTATTTTTTATTAATAAAAAATATCTAATATCAACATCACAAATTATTACAAGCATTTGTTGCATAAAAACTTAATACATAATAGTTGAAGTATAAGCAGAAACTATAAAATTATGATAAGGAAAGGGAAGAAATTATTTATAAACAAATGCCGATATGTCTCAGTTGACGTAACGAACCAAATAGACACAATTCGGTTCTGTATGTTGCATACCAGTAGTACATACCCGTAAATTTAACCCCCAAATAGTATTAGGTATTGGACAGTTGTATTATGCTTCCAAAAATATTATTTATCAAGTTACCAACATATTTTTTATACAAAAAACGTTTGTCATATTACAGTAGATTATATAAACATTTTAACAATTTCTCAATTCAGTGAAACCGTTGATTGAAAGAATCGGGAAGATACGCAACCTAATTGGCAAATTCGTGACAAGGCTGATTTGATTTACCCTTACGTCTCAAGTGCTGTACGGTGGAGCCCCTAGTCATTCAGCGGCCAACGCATAAAACACTCATTTTTTCTAATTCGGCTAGCGTTGGCATATCGAAGAGCGACAGTGTTGCCATATTAAAATGTGTAATATCTGTAGTACATTTGACAAAAATATCTTTGGATAAAAATTCCGCGTATACAGGGTGTCCCAGGCTGAGCGTGCATTAGAAGTTTCTGGAGAACTACAATATCTGGATCGGAGATTTTTCGCACATCATTGTTTCACAACGAGATCTATCGATTAAAAATATTTTCAAATGGCAGCACTTCCGGAAATACCGAAAGCTGACAACAATTTTCTTATTTTAAATGGGTGCCCCCATTTTATATTTCATACTTAAATTCTCTGTAAAATTCTATGAATTTTAATATTAACACTCTATAAACGCTCTATACCTAACATTAACCGTTTTTGAGAAAAAAAATATTTAAAATTTTTGGATGAGAAAAACTGCCTGTCAAAATATGTGTATAGCTTAAACGTCAAACCTAGTTATTGCCACAGTCACTGTACCATAAAGAGAAGACATGTGGCTATCTATTTCAAAAATTAAATTATTCGAATGTCATATCATAATGGCCGCAGATGTCATGGAATTGAGCGATTAAAAATTATCATAAATCATTTTTTTTTCAAATGGAAACCCACTTTTTTTATTTTACTAAAGGCTTTTCAATCCATTACTTTTTTACTATACATGTTCCTCGGCCTAAAATAAATCGTTTTTAAGATATTTAAGATTTAGCCGATGCGCTGTTTTTTTTTCGATCATCTGGTATATTATTAATAATATCAACTCTATTAGATATCACTATAGAACGAAAATACGAGATATATTTTTATAAATACACTTTTTGGCTCTTAAATATGCAGTATTTATAATACAGCAAATTCAAATAATTCGTTTTCTGACAGATGGAAATAAACTGTCTGACTGTTTGACACTTAATATCAAAGGAAGCTAGATAAAATCAAGAACAATATACAATTTCAAACTAAATCTTAAATAACTCAAAAACTATTTATTTTAAGTATAGTAACATGTATAGTTAAAGAGTACGAGTGAATTAAAAAACATTTTCACTAGTGAAATAAAAAGAGTGGGTTTCCATTTGAAAATAATGATTTATGATAATTTTTTAATTGCTCAATTCCATGACAGCTACCGCCATTATTATATGACATTTGAACAATTTATTTTTTGAAATAGATAGCCACTGGATAGCCACATGTCTCCTCTTTATGTCACAGTGGCTGTGGTAATCACTAAATTTGACGTTTAGGCCATACACATCTTTTTGACAGGTAGTTTTTTTCGTCCAAAAATTTTAAATATATTTTTTCTCAAAAACGGTTAATGTTAGGTATAGAGTGTTTAATACCAAAATTCATAGAATTTTACAGAGAATTTAAGTATGAAATAAAAAATGGGGGCACCCTTGTAAAATATTGAAAATTTATTCATGTTAAATAGAATAAACAACAAAAATGTAACGGCCATATACGGGCTGCAGCAAAATTTGTGACCTTAGACGCCATTTTTTTTGGACATATCGAATGAATTATCAGCTGGCCTCAGCGACAATTTTAGCGATTTTTAATAGTTGGTTGTGTGTAATGAACTTTGTATAAACTTTATTACAATGGTAATTTGTTCAGCTTTCAAGTGTAAAAGGCGCAATGATAAGTAAGAGACAGGAGTTACGTTTTATAGAGAAATAAACAGTCCACTACACCTTTTTAGCGTTTTTTTTAATTGAATTTGATAATTATTTTTCTGATATTATATGTACGTGATATGTTCTATATGTCGATACTAGTTTTGTACCTTTTGTTAACATTTTAATACGTTTTTTTCGTAATTAATTAGTATGATGCACGGATGTATATATAATAATTTTATATATACATCCGTGGTATGATGCCACAGGATACACCATAGGCGTAGTGAAAACATTTACCAAAAATATAAATATCGCTTCAAGCGGCTATGTTAAGAAAAATATATGCCACTGCACTGTTTGGAAGAATGGTCACAGTTTGGTCTCGATTGCTATTTGTCCTTGTATTCTTTATGGTGGGTTCATACAGCCAAATAAAATAAAATAAGAATAAAATAAAATAAAATAAGAAAGTTGGTTATATGGGATACCGTACATGCGTTCATACAGCCAAATAAAATAACAAATAAAATAAGAAGTCTTTATCTTTTAACTTCTTGTTTTATTTTATGTGAAAACGGCTTTGCCGCACGCTTAATTCTAACCTACAAATATTTTCAGTTTGGATTTAATTTATTTTATAATTTCACATAAGTAAAATGTATAATATAGTAGGCAACGAATAAATAAATATACTATAAATAGTAAAATTACTATAAACAATCGTAAAAGTTAACTTTTATCCAGCCTCAGCGTACTGCGCATGAGCAAATATATATTTCTTATTTTATTTTATTTGACTGTATGAACGCACACAAATAAGAATTCCTTATTTCTTATTTTATTTTATTCTTATTTTATTTTATTTGGCTGTATGAACCCACCATTAGTCATTGCTTTATCCGCTGCGCTGTAAACAACTATCAGCGCGCAGAGGCGCGCGGCGCATAGCTAAACTAAATCTCGGACAGGTTTTGTGCCAAAATCGCCGGTAATGCCAGGTCCAGACCAAGCAGACAAAACAACGATAAAACAGAAACATTTACGTTTTACGACATAATTGCGACAAATCCAATACATTTCTGCGACATTTTTGTCTCATTCTTGTTTTGTTTCAAAATTCGGAGACTTTTTCAATGTCCCGTCTCGAGTCGGTAAAGATCTTGTTCGTATATTTTACAAGTTGTCGGCGCAGTGTGGATGGCGTGTGCTGCCAACAGTAGGAGACCAGTGAAATCACACATGGTTAATAAAACTCTAGGGTTGGCACAACTAAACTTTTGACTTTGTTGTACTTTTGTCCTTGCGGTGTGGACAATTTGTCTCAAGTTTGTCTTGTCAGAATTCCCCATTTTTTGTCGCAAGTTTGTCTTGTTTTTGTCTCATAATCGTGTTTACTTTTTGTCGCCTTGGCCTGGACCCGGCATAAGGTTGCGCATCTTCTTATTTATTCAATCAACGATAAAACCAGCTAACTTCTCCTTGTATTTTAAATAACATTAATATATTAACACGCAAACATAATACAGAAAGGACAATACCAAAACAAAAGAGTAATATTAAATAACTAATTTATAATAAATAAAAAATCTTGAGACAGGCGACTAACAGAGTTCTTTGGTTAAATAAACTTAAAACGTCTTTTATTAGGAAAAGGTTTTACCCGCAGTGAAATATTGAAACAAGAAAAACTTAAAGAATATTTCTATATTTAGATATAATGTACCTATATGAAGCTTTAAAAAATATTTATGATTTATTCTTTATTCACACCTTAACATTCACCATTCGTTTATCATTTCAATCTTATAGGGATATAAATTTTATTATTTAACCAATAAAAATTATATGTACCAATAAATACTATACATGTTTGTGTAGTTTTAATTTTTAAATAATACTACACAACTTAAACTTTTGATAATTTAAATATCAAATTTAAATGATTAAACAAGCAATATAATAGGACTGTTACAAAACTATTATAAAACTCCTGAAAATCGAGAATAAAATATTATAAATATGTACTTCTATTATTTCTAATATCCTAATATCATATAATTGTATCTGTGTAGGATGTCATACTTTATAAAAATTAAAAAATCAGCAACTTTTTGATTTACCGATATTTAAAAATAAAAATTAAAAATAACATCCTCAAAATAAAAAATAAAATTATACTTAAACTTCTGACTTGTGTGTGTTCCTCTATAACCATTAAAGAACTATTAATTTTTAACAAAACTGTTAAAAATTCTAGTCCCAAATCCACATTATCACCGAGACACAACCGTTTCAGTAAGTTGTATTGAAAACAATACAACTTAAAAAAAATTTTCTATCCATAATTACTAATTAGTAAATACTTCTTTTTTTATCAAAATGCCCAATTTAGGAATAAAAATTACTTATATAGCGCAGTAAAAAGTGCAAATTTATGATATTTGCGTTAGTAACATGACAAAACTTTTTGGAAAAGTCGTCACAACTATAAATTAGCTGTTGCACTATATTTACCATTTCCTTTTTTTGAGAATGAACACTTCACAAAGAAAGTAAATAAACTCTACCCCCTCAAAAAAAATTTGAAGTTCTGAAGAATCTAAATAAAACATCAATAATACTTACCTAATATTAACTAAAATATGATAAACAATATTACGAAAATTTGTAACGTAAATTTATGAGGAATAAGTACCTTTTTAGTTAACGTATGTAAATCAATAGCATCATCTTCAGTTCCTGGTGCTGCGGGCTCCATTTTAAATGAACTAATAAAAACCGAACTTAGATTACTTCCGATTCATCTAAGTAATCTGTCACCCTATCTATAAAAGAGAACTATGTCAGTGTTTGTAAATTTTACCCAGTACTCACTCTTCATTTTTCAATATATACCTTTTCTGTTATAACTTACCGTAACTTCTCCTATACTATTTTTTTTTTGTCAAATATTCCGCCACATTCACAGTTCACGATATGGCCACATTGTAAAAGATATCGAAGAGAAAAGTTGAAAATATGTTTTCGAATACAAGCGATTTCAAAGTTTTTAAGAAACTAATACATTCGAAAGCTTATTTAAAAATAACTAAGGTAGATTATTTGCAAACCTAATATGTCTCAGTATCAATTTTAAATAGTAAATACATCTTCAAGCACAGACTCAAACCAAGATCCAAATTGTGATGCCTGTAAAGTATAGACGTGGCTTATGGTATATGTGTTTGTTACCTGGTTGGATTATTTGCTGTAATTCCAAAAATTGGGAAATAACTATATTTTTGATCACTTTAATAACTGTACACAATCAAAATGGAGGACAATTCTGATTCAATAACCTCAAATACTTGACATTTAAAATAATTTTTTTGACAACTTTGACACAGGAAGTGGAAGTAATGGAAATCATATGGGAGGGCGATTTAAAATCTTTTTTTGGAAAAGTAAAAGAAAATCTATCTTGATAAAAAAATTTTGAACAAGGAAGCTCTTTATTTCGTAGATATATTTCCTTCTTTATTATCCATATAACTAATTGATATTATATCACTTGTTCGTAAAGATGCTTTGGGAATAACTTGCTGTGAAGGTGTATTTAAATTTTCAACCAAAACATTTTCCGAAGTTGTATCAAAGGCTCTTACATTTGCTAATACTCTTGTTTCATTATGCATGTGAATATTACAGTTCTTATCAGCTAAAAAAGAATAAATGTGAGTTTGTTTACTAATTTTATTATACCACTCTCTACATACAAGGAAATGAGGCAATGAACAGTAAATATCTGTTGCGTAAGAAGGTTGCTGCTTCTTGTTCTTCAATAGATAATTGAGAGTTGTCCATGATAAATTACTTATTGAATATTCATCCCATTAAACAAAACAAAACATTACTTACCCTTAGATTAAGAATAAAAATATTTACCCAACCATTTATTGGTTAAGATTATATACAGGTTAGCCAATAGAAGCACATAAAACTAATTTTTGGAAAATAACTTAATAAACAAAATATTACATCACATTCCTAAGAAACTATATACAAAACTAAGTATGTAACAGGGAAAAGTATTTAAATGTTGAATCCCAAATCTCTCATGCACTTTTTATGGGCTTCGATAAGGTCTCCGCAGTTTTCTTGGCCTCGTTGAATTATACTAAAATAGAATTATTAAAACATCAACATGTTGTCCGTGCATTCAAAAGTGTTCTCATACCATTCATCACGAACTTTCTTGGTTTCCGGGCAAGCACAGCAAGGTTTCAACTTTTTGGGTTCTTCAGAGGCCGGTTTGCTTACTTCAGAGGCAGCCGCAATTTTCGGCGGTCCGACTATATTACCCATATTTATCCTTATATTTAAAATAAGTTATTATATTAAAATATGTGCTTTAATTAAATGTACCTTTGCTAGTTGTATTTTCCTTCAGGATATAACTTTTGATCCCAAAATAACTTTGATGTCACGATTGTCATTGTCACTTGTCACCTTCTGCTGTCACTCTCTGGCTGTCACCTTGACCTTGAAGATTCGTGCAGAAAACAGAAGCTGAGGGTAGACAACTAGACATTCACTATATTTACAGCCGCCTTAGAACTCTACTCAACTCAAAACTATGAGAGGTTTAAAGAGGTTTATAAAAAAAACATCTAAAAAAAAAAATTCTATTTTACAGTCGCACTCGGAATGGGTCATCGCGACGCGCGACTGTATTTTTTATTTTATACCGCGAGGTGTTTCAGAAACCGCATCACCCACTGAATAAAACAGCGAACGGGAGACGTAATCGCGGCCGGAAAGTTTGCTGACCTCGGCTTGCGTTCGGCGGCTTTTAAGATATAACGGGGACAGTCGCATCATGGGTCATGGGGCTGTCGAAATATTTTCATTTTTAGCGTTTAGCGTAGGTCTTGCGTTATCTATATAATATAGCTAGACCAATAATTATTGGTCTTAGCTATATTATACACACTATTTAATTATTTGAATAAATTTACTGAGAATTTTAATTTATTATAGGAGATCTCAGCGACTTTATTAAAATTAAAACGTACAATATGTTGAAGGGATGCGACGCATCAATGAAAGCTTCGTCGCTGTACGTTGTTATTGTCTTTTGGAAGTTTTTCGGAACAGTGATGGGTGATCCACCCTGTATATAATGGTTTTAATAAATACCGTAGGTGTAAAAAACAATAGAATTTATTTTATATTCAATTTAGCAGTAATTGCCCAATATTTTTTTTATATAATTCCGTTAAATAACGTTAAGTACGTAACTAAAATTAATTTTAGTTCATTCTAGTATCAAGGCACCACTTCAGCCTTTGAAAAGACAACTCAAAAAAACCAAACCAAACCAAACTCAAAAGTGGTGTTTTCAAAGTGTTTAAATTCCTCCACTATTATTTTGACGTACAAATTGACAAAATATTCGATCTGTATTACAAAAACAAAGAAATTCCTATCAAACCACCCAAAGATCCTCTAGTGCTAAGGAGCGCCGGCGCCGGGCCGTTGAAATAGCTGGTTAAATTAGAAAAAGATAAGTCACATGCGAGCAAATTGTGAAGGCTCATAAATCAGTAAAAGATGTTAACAATATTTTAAATTGTCTTGTAGATGATAGGTTTAATGATGCTATTTAGGAGGCCAAAGATTTGGACATAAGAATCCAAGAGGGGGATATTGAGGAAGAAGAGTTTCGTCAAAAACCTTTTTTAGGTAAAATATAGTATCTGTCCATCGGGAGGATGCCTGACAGTGACAATAGTGTTTGTCAATTTAATTCACAGGCAAATTGTATTTTCTGTCATTTTTTGGATGTCATCAATAATCTTCCCCGAATCGTTGGACAGACTATACTTATTCTCTAACAACAGTTAATGTACGTATGCTAGTAATTAAATTTAGAGTAATAATAAAAAACCGTTTCTTTTTGTTTACATATCTACTTTTCATACTAAACAACTTTTTGATATATCTTCCAAAAATAAACAAATTTATAAACGAATTTCACATTTTTATGCACCTCTCTATGCGAATCAACATACTTTAATGTTTATTACTTCCTCTAGGAGATGCGAGACCTTGTCGTTGTTGGAGAAGCTCCTATAGTCTGGTGCAAGGGGGAATCCCCTCTAGCACTTTAGCTGGGTCTAAAGGAGTATTTCATGGTCCTGGCTGTAGTGTCGTGACAAAGAAATTTCACCAAGACGTATAACCGAGGCCTACGTGAATTTTATGGCCGCAATATTGGAAAATGTGACGTCACATTTGAGGATGAGGGTCATATGGTCATATTCGATTCGGATCCTGCCAGATAAGTATTATTTTAGTAACAAATAAAGTACAACTGGAGCTTTCTATAAAAATAATTTATTGAAAAAATAAATTAGAAATACACAAAAATTGTATGCAAATGGTTAAAGGTTAGAAAAACATTTTTATTACATTAGTACTATAAATTTATACCTAATCTAATGACGTTTTTTTATTATTTTGAAAATGTGAGTAATTTTCTGGTTTTTTTTCTAGAAGAAACTTCTGTCATGTTTGATACAGATGCTTGATCAGAACGATTTTTAGTATAGTTGTTCAGAAAAATATTACTCAAGACATGAGCAATTTTTATAATAATGCTTTTAAAAGGCTTGTTTGTGATTAATTTTCCATGAAATCTTCCGCCTTGACTAAAGCCAACTTTTTAAGAATTTTTTGCTGGGAAAATGAAGTTAAAAATTCTGATGATATCAGCATACATAATATTTTAAATCGGGTAATATATTGAGTAAGTATTCACTAACATTTGATACTTTGTCTTTTCAAAATGGACAGTAAATTCTTCGTTTGAAGTTATAACATAACAGTTTTGCATATTTCACATCCACTAGTGTATTTTATTACTGAATGAGAGCAATATCCTGCTATAAATAATAATGAAGCATATTGTTCACTATTTATTTCTACATTTTCTGAAGAAGCAATTACATCAAAATAATAAATAATAGGAAGGGTACCTACATGATTGGATATTTGGCAGAATTTTTATTTAAACAGGCACAGAAACAATCATGTACCCTTCCTATTTTGGAATAATTTTTTAATGCTCTCCCCAGGGATTATTTCTCTATTAAACCCTCGATTGAACCTCTATAAGCAATTTGTAAAAGAATTTTGAAAAAATTTCTCATATTTATGAGAGAAAGTGGTTTGTATTGTATATTGTATGAAAAACAGGTATACTCTGTTTTTTTTCTCAGGTAAGATTTCGACAGACGATGACAGAAGAAACGCAGATGACGTCCCATACCAATCTATTTATTTTACTAAAAAAAAGTTTCTAATCATTTTTAAGTTAACTATGGATGGGTTTAAATATAAATCCGTTATACGTCGTCTCTTGTTGTGTTTAACAAGTTTTATTGGTTTATTTCAAAAATGACAGATCGTATTTCAATTTGATTGGTTTGACGGAACGATGAACGACAAACGGATGCCGATGCGTATGAACTCACCTTTAGATTTTTGACGTTTGTCAAAGTCTTTCCAAATTATAGGTTATAATTTTGTGTCAACTTTTGTCAAATACCCTGCGTTTTGGAAGATGATACATTTTGATACGTGTTATTACGTGTGTTTTGTGTCTTTTGAAGTCAAGTGGAGGAAAAATCGAGTGAAAATTAACTGTAGACCCAGAGCACAGTTTATGGTTAATACTCGCTGCCTAGGCAGAAAGTTTTATACACCAATAAAGTTACCATCAATAAAGTTCGTATACCATCTCGTCCTAGATAAGTGCATGTGAAGTGCATCTCGAATATGGTAGAAGGACCATACTAAACACATACTAAAAACTGGAGTAGCTGTAAAATATCGACATCACACGATAGGTAAATAATGGATTTTAGTACTGCAGAAAAATAAAAAGTACTGGTTTAAAAAATTAAGATTAAAGTTAATTAATCAATAAAATTTGGTAAGTTATTATTAATAAAATAGTTTGTTTTATTTATGTTGTTTTATTTATTCCTGTGGAATATTACGAATTTGTATTTGTACATAAGTTAAGTATATTGATAAATATAATCATAAATGCGGGAAGTTTCATAAAGCTTGAAAGGAAGAATAGGTAGTTCTCTTTTATATTTTTTTGGTATGTGGTGTCTTGTTCTTGTTTGTTTTGTATTAACACATACCGTTTTTTATTAAATAAAATAACTCGATTACATTTTTTCAGTTTTATACAGTTTTGAAGTAATCACTTGTCAGTCAAATTTTAAATATTAACTTCCTGCTATGCGTTCCAGTTGTACCAACTTATTTCTTTGTAAAATAAAATAAACTACTTTGAAATTGAAATGACAGACACATCTATCACTGTCAAGGATCTTCTCGTTGGACAGACTATATGAAACAACAAACAACTACATACTACAATTTATAGAGGTTAAGTTTGAAACATCATCTGATGTAAAAACCACAGATATTCTAAAAAATGTCACAGTTTTTGCTAGGTACACTCAAGGCACAGCACTATTTGCACACCACAAATAATTTGAACTCTGATTTCAACTAGAAAATATATTTTTTTCGATCAAAAATAACGAACATGGCATTAACCGGCACAAACACGGCATTTACATACTAATTTATGTAAACACAACAGCTCATCGCCGAGTGATGACCCTCAGATTGTGACGTCACAGGCGCGGTGCGAGGGGTATTTTGCGGCCATATAATTCACGTAGGCCTCGGTATAACGTTGCCGGATGGGACTGGGACTACCCTGTCCTTGATACAGGTACCTTCTACTGTCTGTGGTCATGTCATTGGCGATTCGTCAACTCAAGAGGTGGAGAAAATGGGGGCAGATCCTACAGCCTCCACCTCTAGGATACCTGAGCAGGAGACCAGCTCCTCTATATACTGTGAAGGGCACGGAGGGCTAAACCTCAACCGTGAAAGAGTGTATACCCTCGTATGAGATAGATGTCCACTCCTCGTAGGATGAACAGTTGTTGTCAGAAGAGGATGGAAAATACCATGTCCCCCTACAACAGTTGTAGATTATGAGTTATAGATTTTATAATGAGTTATAACTGAAGAAAGAGGAACACAATAGATCTTTCAGGTTGCGGTGATTAACTCCCCTTCCACTTATTCTATATTCTATTAATATTTACCATTTTGTATCGAGCTCATACTAAGAGGGGGAGACTTTTATGAAAAAAAAACAATTCGGAGAATCTTAATTTTTTTCCACAGGTACCCAGAATTTTTCTGGGTATAGGAATTGTTTTGGGATCTCACAAGCTCTTAAAATACTCAATAAAAAATCCAGAACTGCACTACTAAAAAATAAAGTTGATGATGACAGGTCAGTCGAAAAGCCGTCGCGTCGCGCGTCGCTTTGAAAATCTGATTGTAGACAACACCAACTTGTAAAACAAAAAAGTAGCAATGAGAATATAAAATTTATTTTGTTTTATCTAATCGAATGGAGTCATAAAAAAA